GTACAGCACGGAGGACTGCAATTTAGAGGCTTATGTTAGAAAGAAGGACTCCTTCTTGGAAAAAGTTAATGACACATTCAGGTTGAAAAGAAGTCATCAATACTATTATCAAGTGCAGCAACAGCTGTTTGTTACTGACCGCAAGTATTGTGACTTTGTCATGTTTTCATGTCTTGATGACAAACAATCAATGTTTTTCACGGAAAGAATTTACAAGGACCCCTCCCATTGGAATTCTGTTCTTCCCAAACTTACCAAGATGTGGAGAACTTGCATACTACCAGAAGTTCTTGGCAGATGGTATACAAGGAAGCATAACATTGCTGCCCCTCTAACAATGAGTACTCCTGGTCCGAGTATTTGCTACTGCAGGAAGCCCACAGATAAAAAGATTGTACGTTGCGAAAATCCCAAATGCCCATTTGTAGAATTTCACTCTTCATGTTTGGAAATATCTGGTCCCCTTCCAAAACCATGGTTCTGCCCAAGTTGCCGGCTACTCCCTCAATGCAAGAAATTGAAAAGGGGCCCGAGGAAAACCTTACAGAACCTGGATGCATTGGAGCACAACAGCATATGCATTTGCAAAGCTAAACCGAAGGCAGGGGAAAAGCTTCTAAAGTGTCATAACACCAACTGCCTAAATGGAAATTTCTTTCATTTACAATGCCTCCAGTACAAGAGAATGCCAAACAACAGTAAGACCACATGGGTTTGTGGTGACTGTAAAGTCAATGTGGCTTCTCCTAGCACTTGTTCTTCTTTAAATATCACTTATGATAATTCAACAATCATAAGTAACAGTATTCATGATTTGAGCTCAGTGCCAGTGAATCATGACAATACTATTACAGCATCTACATCAGAAACTGACATCATAGTTAATTCCCCTACCACTTGTCCTTCTACATGTACGACTAGCATAATAAGTAACAATACACCTTGCTTGTCTGATGATGGTAAAGACAGTTCTTGTGAATTTGAAAGTGATGATGATGACATTGTTATTACCTCTGTAGGCAAAGGAGAATCAAACAGGGTGGGTTCATTTGGAAATCTTGATGCCAATGATCATGACACAATTCTATCACCAACAGGCTGGCTAGACTGTAAAGTTGTACAAGAGTGTCACATTTGTTTACAGAAGGTAAACCCCTTAATTGAAGGATTTCAAAGACCAACCCTTGGTCCAGTAAGGAACTTTTCAATAATGTCAAGCGAATTTGTGCAAATCTTACATACTGGAAGATCACATTGGGTGTGTGTAAGTTCCATTAAATGTCCACCAGGAATAGTCAATTTGTATGACAGTCTGTTTAATGACATTATTGAAAATGAAGTGGAGGAGCAAGTAAAAAGTCTTTTTGGTGGTGATTTTCAAGGTATAACCAATGTCCCAGTTCAGCAGCAACTGAATGGAAGTGACTGTGGGGTTTTTGCAGTTGCATTTGCAACATGTCTTGTTTATGGTTTCAATCCCCAGGACTTCATGTTTCACATACCACAGATGAGACCACATCTACTTAAGTGCCTAAAAGCTGGTGAAATGAGACTTTTCCCACATTTTTGAAATCTACCTATTAAAAATAAAGATGATTACTGAAACACAAATTACAGCTGACCTTCATTTTTATTTTAACTACACTAACAAATGCAGTTTAGCTGGAAAAATGAATAATTGGTATATTTCTAAAGTTTAGTTCAGAGTTAAGAGAAAACAAAGTTTCCTCTTAAGTTAGTTAAACAATAAACATATGAAAAGGAAATGGTAACAAGTGTGGACCATTACGACATGGTTTGACGATAACTTACCACTGTTATTCCTGTTAGAACATTTTACAAGTGAATTGGTGTGTTATGATTGTAAAAGCATTAACTTAAGGTACCAGTCCTAACATACAATAAGTGTTAAAAAAATACATGAGATGGACCAGCAAAAAATTGTAACAGTATCAAAATCATATGAAAATTAATGGCACTCAGCAAAGCATGTAGCCTTGTCAGTGCCATCAAAATATTTCTGAGTGAGAAATGTCCACAGATGCCCAGTTTACTACAACTTTAGCTTTTCTCCCAGTAAATTAACACAATTATTTATTTTCTTGAAATCTATTGAAATCTTGTTCAAATGTAAACATTATGGGAATGAGATTGGGCCTTAGGCAAAGCATTGACTATTTAGGCCTGTATGTCTGATATAAATCACTCTGCAAGGAGATTAAATACCTGCTAAGAGATTCAACCTACAAAAATGGCAACCAAATTATGTGTATTTCATTCCATTAATCACTAGTTACTGCTTCATAACATTTCTTTCACAGAAGAAAGTTGTCTCATTGATATAACAGAAAAAGTCATTCCATTCCAGTCCAGAAAGGCCCAACTGACACTGCACTTGGTAATAGGTTTCTCTTCAGAGACAGCTGCTTGGTTACAAATATAAGGTACTCCATCAAAATCAGTTGAGCCTTCCTTGACAACTTGGGTTTCGAAAAGTCCAAATGGGAGGTAACCATGCTCCTCAGCTGAGCTGTCGGACACTTTCTTATCAGGTGAACAACCAAGCCATGGTGACCTGGAGTTTATTATCAGCCCAGATGGAAACAAATTGACCTTTCCCTGTTTTGCAGTATCAGCATATACCATCGCAGCAACAGGCTTCATGTCGATACCTCTTTGCATGTCTGCAGTAACCAATCGCCGGCTTGGATTCAGCTGGGTGACCAGTGATTCAAAATTTGTTTTCCTTTTGGCAACTTTTCCAAACTTGCTCGCTGTTATCCGTTTTTCTCGGAGATAATACCACATCTCTTTATTACTCTGTGAGATTGTCTGCCGTTCCAGCTTGATTGCAGTATCTCAAGTTAACCCCAAAGAATCTAGAGCAGCTTGCTTTTCAGCACTTAAACAAACTGAAACATTGTTAGTAAATCTTTCACCAGCTGTTTCGAGCGGCAGATCTAGTAAAAATGTGCAAGAATAGTCATTAATGATATACTCCTTTGATAGTTTTTGTTGGTATGAAAGAACACTGCCCTGTGCAGCATTACCAAAGGAAGTAGCAACTGGAGATATTAAGATCATTTTACTAGCTGATGGTAACACAGTTGCCATAAGTGGTTGTGGATTGAGAGATGTCATCATTTCAGCATGCATTAGGGGGTAAGCAGTTGTAGGACTGTACAGGTTACTTTTAACAAACCTGGTGTAATCTGCCCCTGCTTCTGGCTTGTTAACCATTACATCTTGAATAGCCTTGTTCGCAATCTTTCTCTGTCGAGGAAAACTCCACATCTGTAGCAGGCTGGTGCAAGTAAGTTCATCTGGCAGCGATTTTAGCCCAAGATGTTTGCAGTGCGACAAGTAAAAGAGCAATCTAACCACATGACGACAGTATCCACTAGCTCCCGCCACACAGGAACACTTTCCACAAATGCTCTTGTCTGCTAGGCCAATCTGTACACTGAGTATGTGTGGTGGCTCACTCTTTTTCATAGATCTGTAGCACTTTGATGTTACTTTGACATGGTTAGCAGAATACTGAACTGCAAAAAACAAAATTTAGCTTGGTAATGCTTTTGTCCCGAAAGTACTGCAATAATGTTAACTAAACATAAAAATCTATTTTGTAAACTGTCATCTACTGAAAGCTTAATTAACTAGCATTCATCTTTCTTGGTTGCACGTACAGTATTATCTCAACCAAAATTTTAAAAAACAGGCTATTGTTTAACTTAGAACAGCAAATATCTCCAAATTAATTATATACTTTACCTAAACAAAGCAATATTCGAGTTGTTAATTTCTGGAAAAATTTTAATTATCAATGTTATGAAATTTTCTAGGTATTTTGATCTTAAGCTTATAGCTTTATACAAGCTTAAATACAGTTCAGTTTAGGTGCTGATCACCACTTAAATATATATATATTTTTTATTTTGTAGTCATTTAGTCCACAAGGATTTCTTCCACCTTAATATTAAGTAACACCCGACGATTTTATTTAAACTTATATTTGCACACTTAGAAGTTAGGATATCCCAGATTTTACTTACGTTTCTTATCGTAAAGGTAGCCAGGTTCAGCGAAAAACTTGTAGGCTTTCCTGGTATATTCGCATCCCAACTCATTCTGAGCAAAACTTTCAACTTCTGCGAAAGAAATACTAGGAAACTTGCTCAAATCTCTGGACTTCACACCTGTGAATATAGAAAAATTATTCGAGCTCGCTCTGAACAACGAGATTGCAATCAAATATGCTAGCATTTTTGTTGTGAGCAAGAAGCCTTCCTCCAACAGAAACTCACCTTCGCGTTCAGTGGAAAGAGCTTGGCTACCAGCAGTCGCTATATAATGCAAAACTATTCTCCCTGAGATTCAAATCAAACTATCACTCAATATTTTCATTCTAAAGGCTTAAATATCCATCTAACACAGCACTAAGTCGAATGAATCACGGCGATTTTTCGGTAACGTTGACGCCATTGCTATCGCTTCAAGCGAGCAGGTGCTAAAACTTCACGAGTCTCAAACTTGGCCTTTAATGACTGATATCAACCCAAGACTAGTTTAGTTGTATTTAAAAATTCTAAAGAGATATTGTCCTATTGTTTTCGTGTGACATCATGAGAAACAAACGCCTTAAAAGACCTTTAACCTTACCTTTGTATCCACTCCGCCCACTCGCACTTTGTTGGTTGTCAAGAAAAGACTGAATAGCTTGCCCTCCAGTATGGCGTTGCTAAGGGAAAATCAGTCACGTGACGGCTTGTTACAAAAGGCCTATTGTCTGTGAGTCATTAAGAGATCTAGGTAAAGTGTTAACAGTGGAGCCTACATCAGCTGGTACATTGACAACACCACCATGAATAGACAACTGTCCACCCCTTGGTAACTCACTTACTTGAAAGCTAACATATTACAGCCAATTTTTTTTATTTTCTATTTCTATTTGCTATTTTGCCTCCTTTATCAACAAGCTAGGACTGAATATGCAAGGG